CCCTTGCACACAGGTAGAGGTAACTAGGCTACGACCGGTATTAATTTCAGCGAAACAGCACAAAAGAATGGTTATGAACTGAGGTGGAGGGGACTCCCCAATAATATGTGAAATGAACGTTACCGAAGTGACGTGACATTCATGTAGTTGATGACAAATAACCTCGTTTGTTACATTATGATTTCTTATATTACTGCGTTAAAACGCTTCATTGAAATGATTTTTATGTCAATAATTGCTTTTTTTTTCAATATTTTCTTATTACTAATTTACATATTATTACAAGCTTGAAATGTACGTTACCTACTAATATTCTGAGGCAATCGTGTCTTTATAGTGGTGATTGTGACATATAACACAATGTGATTACATAGAAAATCTTTTTGGAATAAACGGAAACAAAACAATGAATTTCTAGATGATTTTTAAGCTTTTTATTAAAAAGAAATATATCTTGAAATGTACGTTACATTTACGTAGTTTTCTAAATCGGCATGGATAAAGGTTAAAAAAGACAGTAACTACAAAATAGAATTTTACTACATGTACATGTTAAGTTCCAGTATCTATAGAAAATAAAAAGATTCCAAACTGATCGCTCTAAACAAAACAGAGAGAAGAATTAAAGCATATATTTAAAAAAATGTTTTTATACATCTGGATCAAAAAGTAACCTTTGTTTTTTGAAAGGAAAAATCAAACGCACGTTCGTATGCCGAGAAAATATGTTGCTGACAGAGTTGGTAGGATGTGCTGGTGTTAAGATGAGATATTCCAATTGTGATTTAATGACTACATTTTTTTTGGACATATTTTTTTGGACATTGAAGAAGGAGTAACGTACATTTCAAACTACATTTCTGAATAAAATCACCCTCTACTTTACCGTCTTGTCATTATTCCACGTATTAAAATTTGATGAAAAAAAATCTGGAAACAAAATCTTCACATACTTTCTTTCAAATGTAATTGATAGAAAAATTGTTATCTTGAACTTCATTTTTTTAAAAATCAGAGAGGCATTTGTGCCCTTATATTGAGAATGGGTGTACAGTGTTTTGTATTCCTATTATCTGTTTAAAAATAACAAGCTTAGTAAAACAAATCTTTACATTTTCTATACTTACAATTGTACATGAGATATATTTCACACGCTGAATCATCACGAAAACAATAATGTTTCAAATCAAAATTTCCACCTTCTACAGAAAACACACATGTACTGATTCAAATCTTGGTTGTTGTAATACGCAAGTTTCGAGATTATCTCCCTTGGTGCGCTCTTTCGATGGGGAGGGGAGTTTCGTTGCCGCGTAAACAAACAGGTGGGACAAATGTTTGATATTGGATACATTGTATCATCGATATACTGGTTTATCATAACTACATGATTGTCGGGATGCACTCTACATTTCGAGAATAACCGAATTAATTTAAAGACCTCATTTTTTAAAGCAAAAAAATCGTAACAAAAAAGAAAATGTCGGTTGATGTGAGACTTTTCAGACGAGGGAAGCTATTTGGACCTCTAATAAAAACGGTACACATGCATCTGAACATTGTACGTAGGCGATCTAAATGACACATTGATTCTCTTCCTTATTACAACTTCAAAAAACCCACAAACTTTTTGTTTGTACAATCAAGAAAATCAGTCACTTTTTATTAAGACTATGACGTTTATTTCGTTTTCAAGTACCTATAATTTAAAGTAAATTTGTAAATATGCATAGTTGAACTTGATAAAATCATCAAATGCATCACAGCTTAATATCATTATCTTTTTATAACATTTAATAAAGTTTAAAAGCCATAAATATTGTTCATTTATTTATGAATACAGAATGTATGTATACAGAAACAGCCTGTCCTACCTCCATGCTGAAATGGATACTTTTTGCGCCTCTATCACAGGAGAGTTACAATCTCGAAACTGGCGTATTATGGTATAACAAACCCGATCTGTGATAATGTAATTTTGAACCCAACATAAATGTAGCGTGGGAGAAATTTTCTAACAAGTCGGAGTGTTCAACTAGTGGTCAACTCTTGTTTTGCATGAAATTTCAAAGTATTAACATTCAACTAATGGTCAACTGGCCGTTTTATGCAAATCAGTTGATCGCTTTTCAGAAAAGCATTCAACTCCGAGTGGTCAACTGTTTTCGCATTATCAGTTGACGAGTAGTTGACGGTCAACTATACATTTTCGTATGGGTACCCGTGTGGCGCACTAGTTAAAGCCTCTACTGTAGAGTTGCGATGTGAGAGATGAACCTTTCGTTGCGGGTTCGATTCCCATTCCCATTCGATTCCCACTGTGGGACGTGGAGAACGGTCCATCGGTTGACACCATATAAACTGAGGTCTTGTGTCGCAGTAGGTTCATGCTGGCACGAAAATAATCCGTCAATGCTCAATGGCCCTGAGTGCCGAGCATAAGACAACAATTTACAGCTCCCCACCGGCAAGAGTCGTCTCCATATGAGTTAAAAATTATCGAGAGGGACGTTAAACAATTAATTATAGTGGGATTTGAACCCGCGACGTCAGGATCAACTCCTGCGACTCTATAGCAGACGCTCTAACCACCGGGCGACTGGAACAGGAGATGGACAGATACTGACTGGATATAACTGGGCTACAGCTTAAAAAACTACACTGCAAAGTGGAAAACTTGTTCTTTACGTAGGAAGAGAGGATGGATTACATTAAGAAGTAGAATAGTGCTGACACAGAAAACTAAGACGTAATTGAATGAATGGACACCCGTAAATGAAAGATTGAAGTGCGCAAGATTATGTACATCAAATATAAAAATAAGCCTGATTATGGTATGCTCGACGAACAAAGCTCCGAGTAAATATAGGAAGCATTCATATAACAATTACAAGAAGTCATTAAAATCATACAAAAACATGACATATTGCTCATTATTGGAGATTTCAATGCAAAGTTTGGCAGCAATAACAAAGGCCATTAGAGACAATAAACCAAGACACAATATTCCATGGAGCAACAAAGGCATTAGAGGCCATAAACCAAGACACAATACTAGTATTCCATGGATCTGATGGATAAACCTAAGAACAAACTGTTCATATGCTTATATCAAAACAACATAGAATAGCCATCTAAGATACAAGAGCATGACTGGAGCTGATACAAGCGGTGATTAATAAACTGAAAATGAGTAAGATCAGAATAAAATTGAAGAAACGAGAGCAAGATGCAGACACACGTAGAAAGAAATGCGATGTCACAAAACTTTCTCTGCTAGAGAAAAATATATTCCAAGTGCTAGAATTGCTTCTGCGAAACGGGACCTCGGTTTATACGGTCTCATCCGAAGGACCGGTCTCCACATCCCACAGTGGGAGGAAAATGTTGAAGAAATCTGGGAAAGTATGATAAAAGATTTCAAGACAGCAGACAGTACACTTGGAGTAAAAGAAAAGAGACAAAAACCTTGGATAAACATATATTCTTGGACGGTGGTAGAAGAAAGGAAGCAGTTAAAAATCAGACTTCGCTACCAACAGCAGGTCAGAAATGTTAAATACATTGTAGAAGCTTAAGAAACAACTTTACATCAAAGACAGAGAGGTACATGTAAAACGCAGCATGAGGAATCCATGACAGGATAATGTGGACAGAAGATGATTACGGGAGCAGTTAAGCAGTCATTTATTGGCATATGAAAATTGTATGAGATAACTAGAGTGCAAAGTAATGAAAAGAAAGGCATGGCAACAGCCAATAAAGAGCAAAGAGGGCAAGCCTAAAGAAAGAAAAGATGGAAACAGTACTTTAAAATTACAAAACGGCCCGTCTATTAAACATGCATCCATTAGAAGTTGAAATTAAAGGACAGGTAATAGAATAAGTAGATGAGATAGATACAAGCCCCATACGGAAAGAAGAAATGATCAAAGCTATTTTAAAAAAAAAATTTAAAAACAGTGGAGTTGATGGAATAACAGCTAAGATGTTTCAAGCTGACTCAGAGGCAACAACAGGATATTTGGAAAAACTTTAAATAACATTTTGGAAGCAAGAAACTATAGCATTGGTATGGGATAAAGGTCTGATTGTTAAGATTTCAAAGAAACACAATAGATGGATATGTGATATGATAGAGATAGGTATATAACACTTGTGTAAGTACCAAGCGAAGTATTCTGCAAGATAGTGATACAAAGGATCCTGTGGAGTGCACAAACTGACATCAGAACAGGGAGGGGTACAACAGAGCAACTATTTACACTCGGGACATCCAACAAAGAACACTAAATAAATTTCAATTTAAGTCAAGTCGGCCTCATACTGAGCACGGAGGAAACACAAAAGTGATTATACCGCACTCTGACATGATAAGGACAGACCCCTTTAGAAAGTAACACTATTATTTTTGATAACAAAACTATAGAAATATAAAACCATTTTTATCTAGTATGTTAAGTTGACATCCAATCTTTAAGAATTATTATCATCATATTGATGCATTAGGTTTGTCTTTACACTGTATATATCATTCATATATTTTTCTTTTTTTTTTTCATATCTTAGCTTCATTTTTATCTTTTATAAATTATACACTCTCAGTATTTAAGATAATAAATAATTGAGAGAAATAGTAATTTTGTGTTCTTCAAAGAAAAATCCCAAAACAACATTTTTTCCATATTCGAAGTCAGACAATTCAAAACGAATTGTTGTCTTTTGATAAACTTATAAGAAGTAAAGCTACAAAGTTAGACAAAATTATTTTTTGTTTAATGAGAGAAATATTCGAAATGTGTTTTCCTCAGAAAAATATGACCAAGGTCATAATTTGTTTTGCTAATTTAAATTTTTAGATGCATAACAAGTTTTGGGGCGTTTAAAACTAACTTCCACCAATAAAATCTCAAATATCAGATATGAGTACTTTTTAGGTCAACATAATGCATAATTATCTTTCTTCCTCATTTTGCATTTTTATATATTCCATCCACTTCATTCACCATATAAATGCCCGTAATGACATCTCACTTAGTAAGTCGATCCCACTTATTTTATAAGGATTAAACATAAATCTTCTCTATTAATTGACGCGTAAACCTGTGACGAAGGAAGTTAGTCAGTAAAATGACCATCAAGATTCTGGTTCTACTTGTCTGCGTATTCCGCGTGTTGGGAAGTAGCTGGCTGACGGTTGACCATGATCAGTGTTCCTCCAACTATGATGAATTTAAAACTCTAATCGACAAAAACGGACTCCAACTCATAAGGTAAAATTTTTACCCCGAAATGAAATGAAATATATTTTCACGAATATTGACTGAACTTGAACTTGGAGGATTTATTAGAGATACTTGATCATGAACATTTGCAACTTTGAATTCTAACAAATTTGAAAAGAAGAGATCTAGTATACGTGTTTTTGCCAGGATCCTGGGGACCGGGATTTTGGGATGTCCCCTAAAACTTGTCCAGAGTTCTATAGTATATACTATATAAAGGAAGGGTTTCTTATTCAAGCCTCAACAATAAAGCACGCTGACAGTTGTATTTCTTTTTTAAAGTCATTTTTGGGATGCCAGCGTATTTTTTAAAAAGTTTATTTTCAATGTTTGAAGAGATGTTTTTTTTCTTTGATTTCAATTAAAAGGAGATTTTTTAAATGTTACAGACCTTGGTTAATTATATCATGAGGAAGTTAGCGAGATGCCAGTTTTCCGAGATCAGATCTATTTCCTGAGGTTTAAAAATAATACAGGGTCAGTCTTAAGTATAGGAATAAGAATCTTGCAAATTCACTAAACGATACACTTAATTTACTTCTGAATTAACGGTTTAATTACCGGTATATCGGTCAATAAATAAAGAAAAAAAAGGAAATACTGAACTTTGGATCAAGGGTCCATCTACAACTGATTGACTGCAGGTTTCCTGCGGGGTAAAACGAATGTTACAAAATACCCTTCGAGCAGATACCTGTACATCAATATATTTTTGCAAGACTCTCAGAGATTTTGATCTTGTTTGTATCTTTTAACAATTTAATTTATTTAATTCAGATTTAATTCAAAAGTCGCTGAATTAAAAAATGAAACAGCGTCTAAAATCAACACCGAGGACGTAGCGATGGTTCAAGCCGAGGCAAAAAGACTGGAGGAAACTCAGAATAAAGCAAATGATTCCCTTCATAGTAAGCGGGAAAGGACAGCTGATCAGAAAGAACGGTTCCGGAAACTGTACCACGAGATGGAGTTGATCACCGGAAATATCAGTAGGTTAGAGAGAGTAATGGCTGCCAGATCTGTAGCACAAAGCCAACGTCAACAAAAAGTTCAAAGTCTTCTGGATCAAATTAGAGCAGTACGCCAAAACAACACAGATCTAGGATTAAATATTTTAAGAGGTAAAAATGGTTGAAAAATGTTAAATCAGAAATAAATATATAACCTTATTAACATCATTTAATCCTCAAAAATCATGGTAAACTCACTCTCTTTCTCTCTCAATTCAGAATTAAATCTCCAAACGTCAGCAGGCTTCACAATTCAAACAAATAGCGAAGTGACTCTACAGGATCGAGATATCCTGATGTTTCCATCCATTCTTCACAGGAGTGAAAAAGGACTCGATGTCTCGAACTCGATTCTAACGGCCACTTACTCCGGTGTTTACCTATTTCACGTCACGGTCTGTTCTCAGGGCGCGGGTCTAATAGCTAGGGCGGTGGTGTGTAAGAACTACAGTCACCGCTGGGTGGGATTTGCTTACGCTGAGGACAGCAATAATTCGGAGTGTGGAAGCAACACGGTGGTGATTGAAGTACAAAAAGGAGACAGATTCTGGGTGCGATCACATAAAAAGTCTTATTTCTCCTCTGGAAGTAGCTTTAGTGCTACATTAATTCAGAGAACTGAGTGAAATATTCCAATGTTCCAGAAACTGAACAATATCTCTCTGATTGCTGTGTAATTGCCGAAAAGAAAGCATCAGCATTAACTCTAAATAAATACTATTCTTGTTTCAGTTTAGAAAAATCAATGATTTTGTGATAAGAAGAAGAATAGTGACTTTTTTTAGGGTGAAGAATCGAGGTCGACATTAGCTGTGACGAAAAGGATTGGGAAATGACAAAAACGGTTATACAGTCAGTGTTGTCTTTGGGTCTCATTGATCACATTGTGTACGGCGTCCGTCTGTCTGTAAACTTTTCACATTTTCGACTTCTTCTCCAGAACCATTGGGCCAATTTCAACCAAACTTGCTACAAAGTGTCTTTGAAAGAAGAGGATTCAAGTTTTTTAAAATGAAAGGCCACACCCTATTCCAAGGGGAGATAATTAAATATCTGCGAAAAATTAATGGCATCTTTTAAAAATCTTCTTCGCAAGAACCACTGGGCCAGGAAAGATGAAATCCTAAGGTAGTGTAGATTAAAATATGTAGGTAGTGTAGATTCAAGCTTGTTCAAATCATGCCCCCGGGGGTACGGCGGGGTCACAATTGACGATCAAAGTTTTACATAAGAAGCATCATCAAGTAGTTTAAAATTAATGCCCCAACCCCCCCCCCACCCCCCCCCCCCCCCCCCCCCCCCTCTATACTGAAGTGAATTCTGCTTTTCTCGTCCTAGCCAATGTGCTCAGGTGAGCGATGTGGCCCATGGGCGTTTTGTTTTATTCTTTTACTTTCACCATCGAGTTTGACTTGCTTTTGAGAAACTTATACTTTTGCCATAAACTGCCATGTGGGTATCAGTAGTACATCGTGATTTTTGTTATTTGTGTAGCTTTGTTCTGAAAATATACAATAGACGTTAAGCTATTTCATTATGAAAAGGAGAGTAGTCAATCGTGTACATTGTGTATTTGAGTACTTGTATTGACTCTTTTAACCAAAGACTCTGATAACAGATAATATTGAAGCTCTCGTTCTGCTGGTAGGACATTTAAGGTATTTCCATCCTCCTGTGATATCATAGATTTTCGGCAAAATCTGTTAATAATCTGTTAAATTCATACCCAAAAGAAATATGTCTTTTGGACGAGAGTCTTTCAATAAGTGTAATATCAAATATTTGTACATAATTTTTACCACACTGTTTACTAGAATTGAATGCTGGCATATGCTTCTGTTTACTTATAAATGGCAACATATACATTTTTAGTAATGATTAGTTAATTTACACGTACTATATTCCATGAAAATAAATGCTGTTTTTTTCTACTTTGAACCAATAATATATTGTCAATATGGAAATACCATAATCATTAAATCTTGAAAATATTTTGAACAGGAACATAATATTTTGTTTATTATTTCTGTCTGTGAAACGTAAATAATAATTTACAGCTGATGAGTCTGTGTATGAGTGAGTTGATTTAGTCCTAACGTTTATAATATTCTACACTCATTTGTTATAGAGGCTTGAAATTATGATATCATGAGATGTTTCTTTTTTATGTATGACTGGTTTCTGTAATTCCTCATCTTTCAAGCACGGGTCCCTTGCTGACCTGTAGGAGAGACACAAGATGAAACACACCCTTTAAATCCGGCTTAATGGTGGCTTATAGGTCCTTAATGGTGGTTTAATGGTTGTCTTTAAGTCACCATTAAGTCACCATTAAGCACCTTTAAGTAACATTTACACCACCATTAAGTTACCATTAAGCCAACTCTAAGTCCTTAATGGGTGCTTAAATGTAGCTTAATGGTAGCTTAATGGTGGCTTACAGGTCCTTAATGGTAACTTTTAGACCACCATTAAGTCACCATTAAGCTACCATTAAGCTAGACTTACAGGTGCTTAATGTCCAAACTCCATTAAGCTACCATTAAGCTACCATTAAGCCACCATTAAGCCACCATTAAGTCACATTACGCAATCGATAATATTGTTTATATGGGTGAAAAATTATTTTTATAGTGATTTGTTATCAATATTATAAATGTAGAGTTCGCTTATATCTTGATTTGGTAAAAATTATGAAAAAGAACGAAATTCAAAATCAAAAAAAAAACCGCCGCAGGCGGGGCGCGATCCCATGACCGTAAGGTTGCGATGCGAACGCCTTATCCATTAGGCTATCGCCGCTCTTGATACTAAATGAAAATATTAAATATTTGACCTTTATTTTTTTCAAAATTTGTTTGGACTTGTAAAGGTATTTACTAGTATTTTGTTGAACATTTCCAAAAGTCTTGAATTGATTTATTAATCAAAATATAAACAATTTTATTTGTGGATCTTAACACATTAATATATATTTCTACACTGAGTTCGGCTTTTAAATTGATGTAATGTGATTGAGTTCTTCGCTCTGTTATTCGAAAATTTTCGAAATGTAAGCATTAAATCATGATTGAAAATAAATTAATTATAGATAAAACACAAAAGTCTATCATCGAAAAAGAAAGAGGAAAAAACAGATTCTACTATTATTTTTAATATACTGCGGATATTAACGGTTTCTGTGTCAACAATTTAGTGACAATCCTCGCGGAAGAGTTACCTGGTTAATTACGTTTACAAAAACTTTTTTTTAGAATATCATATTCAGTTTCAATTCTTTTTGTATCATAATGGGTATCAAAATAATTGACTTTTTACGATGAATCAAAATTTTTAATTTGTTATATGCTTGCGTTAAATTTAAATTTTTTTTTTTAAATAATTGATCATTAAAATCTGTCAGTGTACGTTGTGTATGTATAGTTTCCTGTTAGTTAACCGGGGACGGGGGGACACCTAATTAAGGTCTATTGTCTGACCAGTCGGTTTACTGTACACTGATCATGCTGATCATCTGTTAATCTTACCCCGTTTCTCAATGTGTATACATCTGGTCGGATGTCATGTTTAGTCTGATCGGCCGTTCCTCTGAAAATCGATTTTGAAATAACAATCATTCAAGACCGACTATAGATTTTGACAGATACTTACCGCTGCATTATTAAAAAAAATAATAACGAATTAATTCGAATTATTCATGATGTAAAAGCCATTAAAAAGTTTTTCATGGTAAAAGTCAATCTTTGAAAACTAAACATTTGTATACCAGTAGCCCCCCCCCCCCAAAAAAAAAAAGCACAGAGATTTTTTTTCATGAGATTATATAGTTATATTCCTGTGAATTCTGTAGCGAATGTTTCTTTTAACACATGAAATAAAAATACCATTTTGTTTTTAAAAAGTAATATATATTTTGTGTTCATGAATATAGATAATTTTAAGAACAAATTGATTTTTGGTATTGTAAATTTAAGATATTTCACGAAGGACTTGCTCACGGTGTGTAATAATTATTTATTTTTAAAAATCATATACACTAAAAATAAAAACAACGCATGTAATAATGATTTATTTTAAAAAAAATAATATACGGTTCTGATACATGATGTCTTGTTTTATTATCACTTTAAATGATTTTAAGAAAAAATTAGACACCTCGAGCAAGCCCTTGTGGCTATTAGCTAACTTTGTTCCCAGTGATCAAGTTTATGCATGTTGACAAAAAACTCGTAGAAATTCTGATCGAGACAGAATTATGAGTTGGAATAGATTTTGCGTAAATGATATTAAAATAACTAAAAGTTAGTTCAAAGATTCTATATAAGATGCGTAAAAGTTTAATGAGGGTTGACCATTAAGTCACCATTAAGCTCAGCTTAATGGTGGCTTAATGGTAGCTTAATGAAGTTTGGACATTAAGCACCTGTAAGTTGCAGCTTAATGGTGGCTTAATGGTGGCTTAAAGGAATTAACTTCTTTAAGCCACCATTAAGTCACCATTAAGCTACCATTAAGCGATTGCTTAAAGGTGGTCTTTCGTCTTGTGAGAGGGGGAATAGATTACAAGATAAACACATGGAGCGTTAGAATTGCCTATGTACATTGTATAAAAATGAAGATATCAAGTGATTTTAATAAGGGTTGCATAAATCTAATGAAATCCCTAAAAATAATTAATTTACCGTGAAAAGTACAATAACTACTAAACAACAAGGCGACGATAATGATCGAGTTATATATACATGTAGTTTTTTTTTTTTCATATTTAGAAGAAAAAATCTTTTTATATCTCTGTAATCGATAATATGTGGACTTATAGGTTCTGTCCGACTGTCTGTCTATTAAAAATAACTTGTTCTCTACAGAAGTGTGTAGTTTTCTTTCAACAAACTGCTGGAATTCAGATGGCTATTAATTGTGCTCCTTTATTAAGCGAACTGTTTATTATTTCTATAATGCAAAATGTTTTCAAATATATGAGAAGAAAACTTTGCTGTGACCTACCACTCGATATTTAGATACTAGCAAATCGACGATGTACATGTATTTATTAATTAACAAAAATTACTTCCATTCATATGGCATCTGATATATCCACCTGAAGTTGAAGTAAAAGATATTACAGAATCTGTCACATTTGTTTCATGTTTGGGTGTTTACTGACTTAAGATGATGAGGCTGACTACACTGTAACAACCAAACTGTGACAAACGATGTATCCATCGTCAGCGTCTCTCATTGATGTAATCATATTCCGCTATCACCTGTATGTTCGTAATGACATGTACATCTTCAAACTTATTCGATACTCAATACCTTGCTCTGATCAATTTTAAATCTGAGGCAGGCTGCTGGCAGAGAAGTTGATGTGACAGGGATATCAAAAACCTCATTTAAAGTCAGAATATCGTAAATTCTATAGTCGTTATATAATGACCTTGTTAGCACGTATTATCTATAAGTGGATCGTATTTTGACTGACTTGTTTCATAGCAATTGGTAGGCGTACTGATTTTGGTTACAGAATGTTCCAGTCACCTGATCAGTAAATAGAGCTCACAGTTGGAGTGACCGGTCAGTATATAAGGGATGTTTAGTCTTCCTAGGCACCTGATCCCACCTCTCGAATTCCCTCTTTACAGATAATGTAATCGCAGAAGCGCAAATAATGCGATGACGCGATGAAGGTGAACCGATGGACTTAGGACGATGGCGCGATGACAGTGATGCAATAAATTATAAGGGGAGAAAGTCCAGAATTATTTGCAGTATCCGGGGCAAATTTATGCATAAAACCCTAGTATACTCTATTTTAATGAAGGATATGTTCATAAATTAAGCTAGGATTTTCAACAAATATCAAACTTTGCGTTGCGCACTGATTAGAGCGTCTGCTCTAGAGTCGCGGACTAGGGAGTTGATCCTTACGTCGCGAATTCGAATCCCATTGTATAGGACATAGAGACCAGTCCTTCGGATGATACCGTATAAACCGAGGTCCGTATCGCAGTAGGTGTTGGTACGAAAAAGATCCCTCATTGCTCAATTGCCCTGAGTGCCGAGTATAGTCCTCCACCGACAGTTGGTGGCGTCTCTATACGAGTGAAGAAGTTTCGAGAGGGAAATTAAGTCATTAAACAATAAACAAAACAAAAACCAAACCAAAAAAAACTTGGCGTGTCATAGCGTAAAATGGCGAATTGTTCATTTTTTTTCTAGCATTAAATG